CGGCGGGGCGATGTAGCCTGTGCATGTGCGCCCTGTTGTTAGGCATCGTTTGCAGCGCGGCCAGGTTTCATCGCATTTCACTTTGCGGGCTCTAATTGACAGTCAAACTTAAAGAGCATGTTTGGTGAGAGAGTTACGTACTTGCATGTTTTACAGCCCGTTCTTACTTTTTGTATTCCTGTGCGGGCCATTTATGAATCTCGGGGAATTTAGATGAGGGAGTTTGAGATGAAGGGGGATGCGATGATAAATATGCAGAGGACGAGGTGAGCGTTGGTGTTGAAGGATTGAGGCGTAGTTCATTAAGGTAACTAACGGTGCGGGGATAATGCAGGGGTACTCCAGCAACCCCAACCAATAACAACCCCATGACTTCATCTACTCACAAGCTAAAGAACTATACATATTCCCATGTCCAGATAAATACCCCGTCTTAAAGTCCTCCCCCTCCTCCCCCCCCTGCCTCGCAACCCTATCCTCAATAGCCCACGCGATCCTCTCCGCACCGACCTGCGCGCCGCCTAGATTCGGTGCCGCAGGGCCAAGACGCAGTGCCGCCAGTCTCCCCATCATGAAGAGCGGGACATCATCGTTCCACATGAGATCGTTATTGATACAGGGGAACCCACCGCGGCCTTCGATGGGGTGTTTCTCTAGAATCGTTTGTAGGTAGGGAAGCGAGGAGAAGTCTGTTTGGATGCCGGTTGCGAAGTACATGTAGTCCATGGCTGGCATGTCGACGGGTGGATTGGTCTGAACACTCCACGTACCCTTCTCAGCGTTGAACTGGGCATCGGCGAGACTTGATTCAGTGAAGAGCTCGAGTTTCTTTGTGAGAAGATGCTTCTTGAGTCGTTTGTGGAATACAGGCGTGATGCTTCCTCCACCTCTCGCCTCCTTGATCATCTCGATCCTCTCATCGTCTGAATCAGCGTAGTAAAACTGCGCTTGCTTTGCGTTCTTAAACTTTCCCATCCATTCGAGTCCAACGTCGAAATGCTTGATGCGCAGTGGTCCGCGCATGACATGCCACACCTTGGTGACGCCCTTTCGAATAGCAAGATCCGTTAACTGCGCAGATGTAAGACCACCGCCAACGATAAGAATATTCGTCGTTTTCTTCGCAGCGATTCGAGCTTTGACGATAGGGTCTGGGAACTCGGTGATGTGCATGCTGTGACATGTCTGAGGGAGCTGTCCATCGGGCATAGAAGGGATGTGAGGAATTTTGGCAACATTTGCTGGACCGACTGCTAGCACTACTGTGCGAGCATATCGACGAGTTTTGTTGGTTGTCACGGTGAACAGCTTCTCGCCGTCGATGGAAATGCCCTTTACTTCATCATAGTCCAGATGCTGAAGGCTTTCTTTGCGGATCATGTTTGAGCTGAGATTATACCGCGCTGCTACCTTTTCGCAGTGGTCGCAGAAGAGAGACGTTGAGGGGTTGTAGTAGTCATTGCGCTCTCTCACGTTTATGTCAACGCGAGCTTCTTGTCTACGCCTCGTCAGTTCAATAGCTCTCAGTAAAGGGATAGAGTCAGGGGGTCTACCTTCGACCACAAGCTCGTTGTCCACTCTTCTTCCTCCCATGTTTGCTAACCTCCTTTCCCACACAATTCCTAATCTCAACCAGTTCATCCGCTCTATCATTAGCATACGCATGCGCCAGCAGCGCATCCCGATCAAGTGGATCAACATGCCAGAGCATCGGACTCCTCAGATGCGAGATATCATACATCTTGAACAGCCTATTCCAGCGGCCCATCCAGGTATCGCTATCTGCATCGAGAACCAGCATTTTATACTGCGGCTTTGCAGCGTGCTTGGGCGGAGATATTTTACCGCTGCGGACGTGCTTGAGGGGCATTTTGTTGCCGTACTTGGAGATCCAGTGGAAGCGACGGTGTTCTTCGTCGGTGAAGAGCGCGGCGGGGGTGTGTTCGTGGAGACGGGCTGAGATGGCGAGACCGCAGGGGCCGGCGCCTATGACGAGGACGTCGTAGATGTCTTCTTCTACTTGGATTGAAGACATGGTGATGGTGGTTGCAGTGTAAGTCGTGGCAGGGGTCTGGGGAAGATGCTGGTTTATATGGTGACAGGTTCAGCCCTCTATTGTGAGCCCTCATGGAGTATCTCATGAGTATTGAGAACCCTTGTGGTCATTTTGGAAGCCATATTGTGTATAGCTTCAGTCATTTGTGGTGTTGAGGACGTACCCTGATGGACATTGCATCATGAGGACATCAAGGTCCATGGCCCACTAGTTCATCATGACAACCCCGGAAGACCCTGATAAGATACTCATGATGATTCATTTGGACGCCAAAAACAAAGCCATGTTGAGGGGTTCACGAAGTCAACGACAGAAGAATGCTCACACGACTTGGCATCAATTGTCAGTGACGGGACTGGGTATTCTTCACATTTGATACTGAGTTTACAAAGATTGAATCACGAGCATGTCTATTGCTTCTATGTACTCATCAATTTATCGTTTCAGATCGCTTATGCTTATGCCTATGCTCAACCTCATCCTATCCCATCATATGTGAGGGCATCTTGGCCCATCTCACCCGCCAAGTCCACAACCAAGCCAATTCGCAATCTATGCCATAAGCCAAGCACAGCCCAAAACATATCTTACACCTATATCATGCAACCCCCCCTTCTCCCCTACCTATTCTTTCTTTCACCTTCTAATGATTCCACTCCGAATCCAGCGCATGCCCCAAAGGTCCACTCGCCGCATAATCCGTCGTCACAAACGCCCTATCCACAACCCCCAGCCCCTCCGCACAATACTGCAGCGTCTCCGCGATATCGTGCGATCTATTCAACGGCGTCTTCTCATCCAGCAACACGTCAAACTCAACCCAGACGCCATCTCCCGCATGATACGCCGTCACGTTCTTGAATCCCGCTACGACCGGCGCGAAGCGATAGGCGAGGTAGATTAGCTTCTTGAGCGTGTGGTCGTCTGCTGCTTCGCCTGAGAGACGGACCACGTTCTCGAAACATGTGTGCCCCCAGTCGTAGATGATGAAGAGTGAGAGTAGCCCAGCGCCGACGGGGTCGAGCCACCATACGTTCGCGCGGTATCCGATCAGTGGAAAGAGAAGAGAGAGCGTGTTGAAGATAACGTCCGTTTTGCAATCCTGCACAAGAGCTTGTACCTGACTTGACTTGATAGGTCGACATCCCAGGCCAATAGCTCCCTTGAGGATGATCGTCGCTAGCAGAGATGCAATAGCAGCCCAGCTCAGAATTTCCGCCTCAGAGTGTTTCAGCAATCTTGAGAACGACTCTTGCAGAATCTGCAGAAACGAAATGACCATGATGATCGAAAACACCAGGATACCCAGTGGCTCCAACCGTCTCCGTCCAACAGGAAATCGTCGCTGCATCGCTTGCAACCGCCACAGCACAAGTCTACTCGTAGACCACACGATGAGCGTACACAGTAAATCTAGCGCTGAATCTACAAGCGATGCAACGAGCGATAGCGACCCCGTTGTGAACACAGCAAATGCCTTTCCCGCCAAAAGAAGAATATTGGCTATCACGTTGATATTGATAGCCAAACTCGCCTTTCTCGCAGCTTTCCTCCTCTTCTCCTTCTCCTCCTCCGGCAACAACTCGCCAATCCTGCCCTCTACACGCTGAATCCCTCCGCATCTCTCCTGATCACCATCATGGTCCGGATCAGGATTCATGCTCTCTAGTACATCATCCGCTATCGCCATCACCACAGCATCTACCTCGAGCCAATCATTAAGCCGCTCGTTCTGCTGCTCGTAAAAAGCACGGATCTTTTTGTTCTTCATCACCTTGAGCTCCTCTTCTGATTTTCTGTACTTTTCGAGTCCTTGATGGTCGATGCCGTGGAGTAGTGCACGCTTGATCTCCCCGCGACGGGCGTCTTCGAGAGCTGTGCGCGCTGCATCTTGGAATTGCATTATTCGTGGTCTGGGACGGGATTTCTTGTTGGGGTCGTAGTATGAGTAGCGACCTGTTTCGAGATCGCGAGGGTGTTCATCGTGGTTTGTTTCTTCGCCGACGTGACGGCCGCGATGGCGAGCGCCTTCATTATTCCACTGACGTTTTCCCACCATCTTTGAATCTCACTCAAGAAAACTACAGGCACGAAAGAAATGAATATAAAGGTACAGAAGGTGATGCAGAGACGGCAGCTGCTTTTTGTTTATTCCCGGGCTGGGAGCTATACCCTTGTCCAGCGTGTAACACGATATGACGTAGGTGACGTAAAATCCGGGGTTTCAAAGGACACGCGAATGGGGACAGGTTCAGGAACGAGAGAGAGCTCCACTGAATCGCAGAAATAACAAGGAAATAGTTGCATTTCATTTTCTATTTTTACGTTCCGTCCAACTTGTTCTTGTTTGCGACGGTTTTTTATTGTGGACATCGTAGCCAACGCGTATGCTTCTGTGCCGTTTGTCCCGATGTCTTGGTATCTCGTCGTCATGGGTAAGCCTGTTACGCCATGATCTCGATTTACGGATATACGGCTGGTTTAAGGGTCGATTGATCAGATGGCGTTAAACTGGTTTGGGGGGATTTTTTATACTGATGTTAGCTGCCTTTTCTATGGCTGCATTCATGGTATCACATTATACGGCATTTTTTTAACTCGGAAAAAAGACTGATTGGACTCCATTTGTATGCGCCTCAGCTGAAGGCCACGTCCCATCATCGAACTCTCCTCAGGTCTGCACGTCTTCATATAACATAAACAGAGCATCTCGGTCATACAGCTCTTTTCATGGCTTCTCGGAATATGTGGCTGCCTGCGGTGCAGTATCTGCTTTGCCCAAAACGTTTTTCTTAACATCGGAAACTATTGTGGATCTACAGCGCTGTTAACTGCAATAGCTAGTTCCATATAACTCTCGTTCCTCGTGCCTGAAGCCCTCTCATTTCCCTTCTGCCATCTGTCGTGGCCATAAGTGCATCCTCATTCGGGCGTTAAGTTTGACCTACCCCATGTTGGGTCCTGGGGTAATTGACCACGCCTGTCCTTTGAAGAGTAGACGCCCATCTTGCCTGAGTTTCTCTGGGTCAGTGTAAACACACAAGCCAATCCCGTCGCTATCAAGCTGGAACACGCGGAAGACCATATATACTTCCGAATGGTCTTCGGTGTGGTGAATTTGTTGCATCTGTATAAAGTCAGCTTATGATGAGAACAACTATCCTCCAAACGCTTACCAGCTGGTATTGCTTGCCACTCATGTAGAATGCGGTACTGCATGGCCCAGTCGTGGTCTTGACTTCTATGTAATATCTGGGACGCGCCCCATGCCACTCATCGTGGCCAAGATAGCCACAACCGATCAGCGTATTTGTCAAGTGTCCTTCAGTATCGGCATAAACTAGGTCGGCGGTTTCCCTCCCTCTCCAAGCCTCTAGGTTCGTATAGTCTGGGTGGATAGTCGCGTACGATCTGATCGTGCTTTGCCAATTCGTTCGGTTCCAATTTGGCAAGTTGAGACATGACAGAAGCTCGAATACCTAAACGAATATATCATTTAGCCTCAAAAAACCTGCGATGCATAGATGATGTTGCTCACATATAACTCGCCTGCAGCCCCAACCTTCTTGTCGCGCTCTAGCTGGCTAGTCGAACGAAATGTTCCCATGATGTCCAGGCCATCGAAACTCTGGTAAGAGTTCGTATCACCTCCAGGTAGAGCATTCCGCATATGGGTCATATCAAATGACCCTCTGGATGGGAATGCCGCATTCCGGGCTTTTTCAATAACCCTGTCCAGGATTGAGCGATATCTAGTGTCTTCGGAAGTTTGCTGCTCAGACGGCGAGGTTATAGCCGAAAGCAGGTTTGAAGGAGCCTGCCCGCTTGGGTGGTGTAATGGCTGTGGTGGGACGGGAAACAAATCTGATTGAGAGGAGCGATGTACCCTTCCTGAATGAGGCTGATATGACATCTGGCTTCGCTGGGAGACGGTCTCGACGAGTGTTTCAGGAAGGCTTCCCTCTGGCGAAATTCCGGAGGAACCCGCATATGGTGGCGTACCAGGATTTATAGAAGAACGATCGGGTGTAAGTTGTTCTGGAGAGGTATCATTAGTTTCGAGGCGACTACCTGGTAGTCGTGGTTCTTGACCTTCCTCCTCCTGATCTTCTGTCTGGTGCTCTTCTGCCTCATCACTGTTGTCTTCTTCATCCCGGTTGTCGAACGGCACTGTTAAGATTCCCTGGTCGTCAAGAACATCATCAAGGACGAATCTTTCACTTGCAAAGACTGCAGTCAAGACTTTAACTATGTCCGTTTCAATCGGTCCATTCGTGGAGCTCTTCGAGGTGTGCATTAGCCATGCCGCGAACTTTCTAGGAAGAACTGAACCGAAGCAGAGCTCTTGCGCTCTGCGCTCCTTTGGGACATAAATCGTCAGTTCTCCTGTCGAATCTTCGATATGCTCGTTGGCGGTTGCTACTGGAATCTCGAACGACTGTTTGTTCTGAAAGATTTTCAGCACAGATGATATTCTTTCGACCTCAACGACTCTCATTGTGCGAAGCTGTTCATAGAGACCGAGGGGGTCGTCCTCAAATCGAGGGCTGTTGAAAGTAGAAGCGACACTACAGGATAAGCCGTTGTTAGTATCTCGAATCCAATAGAATAAAGAAACAAATGTACCCCCGTTCACTACGTACCGAGCAATATGATAAGCCTTGCGTTTGAGGTCTCGGTTAGGTGTAGAAATTGGACGTTCCGAATCACCTAAGATGAACGTATTTTCTTCAACGGAGTTAGACAAGTATCGATCTTGGAGTTTCAGCCATTCGATCAACGGTCTAAGGCGACGGACTTCTTCCATCTCAAAGTCCAAGAGAGCAACCTTGTCACGAAACATCGTCTTCAACTTGTCTCGATCTCCAATGGCAAAGTCAACGCTCGCAGAGCTCAGAACGACAGTGCCAGTTGGGTACCTGACCGGAAATACTTTGGCTTGTCTGATCGGCTCCGGGTCCAGTAGTGTCGTTTCTGTTTGTAGGAGACCATTGAGTGACAGAATAGCCACTTTGGTCTCTTCCGTATTGTTCCCGGATGATTGTCGCAGTTCATCGTAGACCATCTGCAAGGTTAGCAGCTTCACGCCTAGTTTGCCGACAAAGAACTCCTCATAAGCTTCCCAACATTCATCCAGGATGGCTTTACCACGGATAACGGTTTCACTAGACCATAGGCAATCTGATGTCTTATACCAGCCTGATTCGCCATGCCGCGTTTCGCAATAGATGAGGGGGGATGCCTTAAATGCAGCTCTGTTCTCAAGTTAGCTACATGCAGGAAACGATCCTTCTCATCCTGGACCTAGCTGTTCGCGTACTTGAGAAGTGGCGAAGGTACGTTTGCCTTATGCAAGTAATCATAGATTGCCCGCATGCGAGGTATTTCCTCGCAACCTTCGTCCCGAAGCTCGGTCAACTCGGTCACCAGATCATCCAACGACGCATCCGGAATTTGAAGTGTTCTTGTAAATAGGTTTTCGATGTTCCTGAATCTTTCATTATCCATCCTTTCCAAGTAGGAAGCCTTGAGAGAGTGAAACATGACCATATCTGGCGGTGCTGTCCATAAACAGAGCGGAGATGTCGTCCACATAGGATCATTCTGATTAGGGTCGAGGACACCTCCTTTCTCAAAGAATTGTCTGTTAATAGGTCAATTATAAGTTTATGTTTGCACGATAATACTGACATAATCTTGAGTTTCGCGACTGGCCCATCACTAGCAACTGTAAGTCTGGCGTATATGGCGTTGTACAAGTCAAACACCTTTTGTGTTTGACTGTCGGAAGGCCTTTCGGGACATGATTGCTGAATGTAGTGAAGTATTTGGAGTAGGAAATCCATGCTATCGTCTTTACTGACTGAGAAGTAGTCACTCAGGAAATGCCATTTTGATCCAAGCAGTTCGGTTGCATCTGATTCCTCGAGTTTGAGAAAGGGAAAATGCTTGGGATGTTCATATAGCGGTCGACGAGGTGTCTAAGATCCTCGAGGGGAAGCCAGGTTTCCTTCAGCTTGAGTGGATAGTCAACTCCACAGAGTTTCTTAGCAGGCAGATCCTCAATCTCTGATCGAAGAGCCCTGTTTTTCACCAGACTTGATTTCTCGTGCAACCAGAGATGCTCAAATAACCCCAAGAATTTTTCTGGATGATGTTCAAAGATATGCAGAAAGACATCCGATAACCCGCGTTTGTCTCGTGACATGAGTCTCAACCGCTCACGTACACCGATGGAATTGCAGAGCCACGTCTCCCACCTGAGGTGCAAGACGCTCGGCTTGTCTGGGGTACTTTCCATATGTTTGGAGTGTATAAAATCCACGGATAAGCCTTTTGGGAGGTCTTCGGCGGTTAAAAGGCTTGAAGGACTGTACGCATGGTGGGTTCCAGGGAGGTATACATCCGTCTCTTGTGGGTTCGCTCGCTTCCCAGCTATTGTGACGATCTCTACTTTCGTGTATTCTTCCGGCCCATTCTTCCCAGTTTGGTGCGTGAGATAAAGAAAGCTCAAATACTCATTTAGGATTTCGAACGATAAGCCCTTTTTCGAGGCGAACGATCTGAGGATCGATGCTCTAACGTCTTCATATGTGGCCTGACAGACTCCTAGGTGTTGGAACAAGGTGCTTCTTTCCGAATTACTGGATGCAAAAACAGTGATAACTTTGATGTCTAAGGAGTCAGGAATGCTGATATCTCCCGTCTTTGGGAAATACACTGGCCCGGATGCATTCGATGTCCACGCTCCCGATCTCAGAGGGAGCAAAGGCAACGACTTCAATCTCTGTTGAATAGATGAGGAATTCTTGAGTGTTTTGGTAAGCAGGCGTGCTACAGCTGAGTGCCATTCATCGGTCGTGTTCTTTCCGTGAAACCTGGAGTAGAGACTGCGGAGATCGGTTTCCAGTAAGTTTAGAACTGTTTGGATGTTCAGTAGTCTTAGTCCGTAGCCTCTGAGAATTTCCTTTGCATCTTGGGAATAGCTAGGCGAAAGATAAAGATCTTTGGTCGGGTCGTCAAACAAAGGATGCCCTTCCGCATCCTGGGCATCGCTGGTGAGAATGACAACGTCGCCTACCAGGCGCAAGTCGATTCGATTGCGGGATTTCAGTACTGGGGTTTTCTTCATCAAGCTTTGTATCTCGTGGTTGAGGCCTGACCAGAATGCATCGGAACTGGTATCTGAGGAGGACGGGAGGAACATAGGCCAGCCGTAGCAGAGTCTAGGATGCTCGCAAAACTGCAGAACTGCCTGGAAGAACGCGGACGCAATCCAACCGCGAAGGTCTAGATTCCTCCGTGATGTGGTGACGATATCCTGTCGATTGGCGTTGGTATCAAAATCGGAGTGAATTAAAAACTAGAGTGGAGTCAGTTATGTTTTGCGTGCGATGATAGATGAAGCCAACCTTGTAATCGGATCTTCTTAGAGGTAAAAATGCGAACAGGTCTTGGTTCCTCTGAGTGATAAGCGGTTCAGAGTTGTCGGTGATTGGGAAAGCCAAAACGACTTCTGCCTTTGAGGAATCATTCTTAGCCTCTTTGGTATCAGGAAGCTCGCGATTGTCGCTCCGGGCCAAGTTGGTCGCCATTTGTCTCGTGATGTGATAAATTTGGCTCCGAGTAGTCTCATCTCCACGAGCGCCAGATGTAGTCTCCAGAGACACGCGATACTTGTCGATCTTGTGCTTGCGGAAGTACTTTGATCGTTCCAGCTCACCGTCCTCATCGTAGAACTCCAAGCTGATTTGCTCAAGCTTGCGCAGGAAGAGCAAACAAGTTTCCTGTAGATCGTCAAATTGCATAGAGATGATCCTCCTCAGATGTTGAAGTTCGTCTGGGTCTCCCTGGTCATGGATGTATAGTGTCGTGCGGGTTAGAGGGCTGGGGATGGCCTCAACTGGACTTACCCAGATAGGTCTAACCATGCCTATACCTGGGTCTGTCTTGTTATGCCGAAACTCGAATGAGAAATTCCCAGACTGAATATGAACTCTAGATGCTGCGATAAATACGGATTTGAAACCAATGCCTTTGGCGCCGATATATCCGTGGGAAGCTGACTTGGTGCTTTGTCCAACAGCGCAAATAGCTTGTAGGTCTGGCTCTGTAAAGCCGTCTTCGTTACACTCGACGATAATCTTATTTGGATATATCTTGAAAGAGACGAAAGGCAGCGCTTCTGCATCGCGAGCCTTGTTGAAGATATTATCCTCTGCATTCTGAAGAAGTTCAAAGACGAACCGAGCACCACTGCCATAGATCTGCTTTGCCAATCTAGCAGATGGTTTCAGTAAGTGCAATAAGAAAACTGACCCAGATTAGTAGACACTTACATCTTGACGGAGTGCGATACGGCGCTTTCCATCGCCAGCCAATTTTCATCGATCTCACGGCGATACTGGGCATTAAATTGTTCGATGTCGTCCATCATTGTTTCGTTCAGAAACCCATACTTCTTGGTCAAGCGTCGCACAATTTGCTCCGCCTCCTGTATGGTAGCCATGGTTGGCAAGTATGGCTTATTCCGTTCGTTTCCTGTATGGGTACGGATAGGTAGCTAAGGTACGCAAGGGCTTGGTAGCAGATGAGGTATGCGAGAGTCATTAGGGGAAGAGGGGACAGGAACGGGACCAGAAGTCTTTAAAGAAAAGCCAGTGTCGTGAGAAAGCCAGCTGAGGCATCTCTCGACTCCCTTGTCTAGTGCGACGACTGTTCTGCATGTTGGTCACAACATCCTAAGGTAGCTTGTTAACTTCAGCTCACACTTCAGGTGTGTTTCTCTTGATGCAGGTCAGCGGCACGTCGTGGTCGGCGCGTCAATATGAACAGTACGTATGCTGGGCAGGCCTGTTTGGCTATCAGATGGAGGCAGCAAATATTATTGTCTTTCCTGTATGTTTGAGCCATTGGTGTTGAGAGAGCTAAGTTAGAATAGGAAATGTGGTGCCTCCCGCGGCGGTAAAATGGCAGTAGAGATTGGCCAAAGGGCGACCTCATCCTTGCATGTGAAAAGAGTCCTGAAACCGTGGAACCAACACATCGGCAAGAGGGCGGTTGCTTTCATAGCTGGCTCTCGTGCTTTCATCAATGCGCTCTCACGGTTGTAGTATGGCTAGGTACGATTTACCTAGGCATTGTGTGTGTTTCGGGGAGGAAATACTTCTACGACCCCTGACAGGTTTGGCTTACACCAAAAATTCGCTGGTGATCCACCGATTTAGGGATCGTTCTTTATTTTCGCCTTAGCGTATTTTAGGATAAACTTGCGCCATGACTCCCTGCCAGATGCGGGAGACAACCACTGTGTCGTGTGTCCTTCGCCGCCTAGGTAGTGCAATAAATTTAGTAGATTGACCCTGACCAGGTCTCTCAGTTTCGTTGCTCGTGACGTCCGGACAAGCCCCTCTAGTTCAAGCTACACGGCATGGATGTCGTTCATTGACTTCCATAACGACGATGGAGGGCACGGTAGCCGAGCAATACATAGGAACATCGACTTACAAGATGAACAGCGAGACTGCAAGGCCAATCAAGCACTGCACTGACAGTAAGTTTAAACATGAGCGACACTCTAACGACTACACTGACGAATAAGATACGAAGATAGAGACGTATGGAAAAGCAATGCCTGGCTCACGCGCGTCTGCCACATCGCGTAATTAATTATGCGACAAGACCAAAATCATTGTCTTCGTCTCTATTTTTTCACATTGCATCACAATTTAGACCAAGACACATGCAGTCAAGAGAACTTAGAAACTCTTTTCTAAATCGCAAATATCTTGATAAGTTTAGGACAATGGGAGATGATTATATAACTTATGTTGGGCAGCACGAGTTTAGGGTCCTAAAGGTTAGGGTATATATGAATCATTCTTGGTCTCTACCTAGCTATTGTACCTTCCAATTTCTATAAGTTATCTAGAGCCTAGAGGATATAAAGTGCTAGATTAAGATAAGACGACTATGTAATATACTCCTGACTGTAAATTAGAGAGGCGTGCTTTATTGTATGCCTCTAAGACTCAGTACGTATGGACAAACAATAGATCGTAATTGAGGATTTGTCCACCTAAGGAATAGCCAAAGATCCCTCTTCTACTCCTCCACTCCTCTGCTTCGGACTGCGCTTCGCCGTCTTTCCCGGCGACTTGATCAATTGTGACGAACCCTCAACATTAGCACATCCCGTGGCCATGAAGTCGGCTGTGACACTTGAAACAATGTAGTCATTGAGTTCCCGCTGTTCGCACCTGTCCTCCTCTTCCAGTCGGATCTTTTCCTCCTCACTCATACTCTGGCGGCGGAGGCTTTTTATTTCATTCATAACGTACAGCAGGACGGCCTCTGGACAACGGTTTCGGTCCGCCGCATGCTCCAGCTTGCGAACATACCGTCGCGTGACATCCGTAGCGCCTTCGATAGAGAACGCTATAATATATGACATTTTTCTATTCCAGCCTAATTATGAAAAGTCAGTGCTGTTTCTTGGGAAGGCGGGCAATGCTTGCGAGAATCTCGAGTGCAATGACTTACCTTCGCTGTATAGTTTTGGGCGATCAAAAACACCCTCGCATGGATCAACGTGAACCCATCTCTTCCTGTGTTCCGAGTATACCTCGGTCCAAAGGTGGTCTTCAGCAATCCATACCCACCGCGCTCTGGCGCCCATGGCCCGGCAAAGCATCGTGAAGCAGTTCACCCACTCACCCACTCGCCCTCTTCTGGTCTGGAGTAGTTTCCACACGTCTGTATATCGAGGGAATCGCTCATATGTTTGGCAGGCTTCCCTTGAACATTTGTAGAGCTCGACACGCAAAGCCCCGCAGGCTGACTCCTCCGGGCGTGGCGCACTGAGTCCCATCATAGTCGTTGGAGAAGAACATGTTGGACATGGTGGATTGTTCACCCAAGTGAAAAACGAGCGGTTGAACCATTGCAACATTGCGCGGATGATGCAGTCACTGTATCCCCACTCAGGCTGCCTTCCATCGCCATAGGATTCTGCTTGGGCCTGGAATATCATGCTCTCTTCTTCAGCTTCGCCGTAGAGTCTCTCTAGCGGGATGCTGGTCAGAGCCTCGTCAAGCAATCCGGGGTTCTCGTACTTCGTTGGGGTTAAGGAGAGGGACTTTAGATGGTTACGGAACTTCTGGGACTTCAGGTCGTTTGCGTTAGGAAGCTGGGGGAACAGCGGTGTCCAGACTAGTCTCCGGTTTTGGGATGGCAGCAGTAATGCTTTTCCAGTGTCAGTTGCAGTGTACTGCGGGCGCGACTCTTGCTCTCCAGACGGGCTATAGAGCGAAGTTGATTCATCTTCAGTGGACGAAACTGCTTGTGCAATACTAGCTCGGCGGCGGCTAGTCCGTGATAGTTTCAGCTCATCCAACAGTTTGATCCGCCACTGGTTCTCAAATCGACTTCCCAAGTCGTGGATCCACTGTTGAACGTGGTCCAATGGTGGTGTAGAAGAGGATGCTGTGACGGACTTTGTGTGTTGCAGATGCATAGCAAGGTCTAGTTTCTTATCAAAGTTGTATAGTGATGCAGCTTCAGTGAGGGGCAGATGAGGGGGATGCTTTGCCCGCGCTTCTATGTCTTCGAATACGCGTGAAAAGGGTACCACAATTGCAGCACCCGAATCAGGGGACCCAGCCACAATGTGCCCATACAAGTTCCCAGACTCGGCGTCAATGACCCAGGAGCCACAGTCTCCGGCCTCCAACCGCGAGTCCAAGAGGACGTTGTATACCTCCTGGTACATACTGCTGTTGGGGAGTCGAGTGTACAGGGGAGTGCCTGACATGTCTCCTGTAAGTGTTCCTCTCGATGTGGAGGTCAAGATCTTGACGTCCTTGGGGCCATCTGTGACGACGCGCTCGATCTTGGCCTCGCCCTTTGCAGAAAAAGAGGAGAGGGCGATTTTGTTCGCGATGCAGTGAACAGGCCTGGTCACTTCGATCAGGGCGTAGTCAAGACCAGAAGGTGGTTCGTCGAGGGAGGACAGATAGACGTGTCCCAGACGCTGTGGAGGCAAGAAAGTGCTCAGTGAAGGTCCATTCTCGAGAACCCGACGACTCAAGCATTTCGTTCCTTCCTGTGTTGCTTGCATGTCTTGTATGCTCGACGAGAATGGTGTCTGGAGCATCTTGCTCTCGGTAGAGCTTGTGTACGGCGGGCTCATGGCGTCGTCGTTGGCTTGGGCCAACCACGCTTTTTCATAAGCCGTCGATGTCACATCGTCCACTTCGCTCAACTCATCATCGTCGTCGTCAATCTCAAATTCGTCGTCGCTAACTTCGTCCTCGTTGTAGCTCGGGGCCGTGTCGAGGCTAAGCACATGACCTGCCGTGGTGTAGTAGAATCTATCCGACAGCTGGATGATGCCACCGACGGTGGCTTGTTTGTAACAAATTCCGCCATCTGTGCTTGATTCAACGAACAACGGCATCCCGCATGGGTTGCTCTCAAGGGACGCAAGAACAGGTCGATGATCAGATGATGACAATGTCATGCCATCGTCTGCTAACTGAACGAGCTGATTGAAGTCGGGCGGTCGAGACATGTGTGCCGTCTTAACACCGGGGAACTCGTCGAGAATGCCGCTGTCTTTGATCGCATTTCTCACCTGTTTGCGATGCGCAACGACTTCGCAGCAAAACAGGATGGCTGGGCTGGCACTGTTTTCCGACTTACCAAACATATACATAGACCATGTAACCCAGCTCGATACTGGTTCGACCGACCTCTCGAGGTAGGCTTTAATCTTTGGGGCCAGCGCCGCGAATGCGTCTCTCGCCGGGCCTTTGGCCACCCAGCATAGCTCCTTGCCGACCTTGCCTATGCAGCGGCCGATAGACAGCTCTGGTTCGGGCCATGCGAGACGCCTCGTTGCCGACCTGCCACTAAGTATGGCGATGCCGCTCTCCCAGGATCGCAGAGGGGATGTCACGATTTCCAGCGGCATGTTTCAGCGTATTTCATTGTGATTCATGAAAAGTGTAGCTCTCGATACCGATGAAGGGAATTCAGCCGCAATCATTGGGGGCTGTGCTCAGAGGCCTCGTCGCGCTGATGAGGCAGATCATCCGCCAATGACAGATGCAGTTTTATGCACCCAACTAGTGCTGGCTGCCTCATCCGCCTTATCCTCCATCAGCGTCGCTAGATCTTGATCTTTCGTGTGAACCAAATAGAATAGAAAACGACCAAAACCGCGATCATGGCAAACAAGACGGAGCTCGATTCGAGCCTGCTGGATCTCCCGCTGCAGCAACTTACCAAAACAACAATAGCCAGCGAATACTGGGCCTCTCCGCACCAGAATCAACGCCTCAACAGCGTGGACTTTGACCTGCAGTCTTTTTGGACATACTACAGCAAAGAATGCACCAGGGCTCTCCACAATGGAGGGCGATACGTGGCTATGCGATCGCACCGTGATGTGGTCGACTGCATTCGCAAACTCAAGCGCGGGATGCTGCGCCATGACATCAAGGAGGAGCTGCGAGAGAACTTCACAGCGCTTCACGACAACGAAGACGAGATGCTCGACAACTCGATTGATTTGGCTGCCAGTCTGCTTTTGATGATAAGCTTCTGCAGTTTCACGTACGGCTTCTCTGGCCGAAGCCATCTTCGTTGGAGTCATGGGTCCTTGAAGAGCTTTGTGTCAACCTACTTTGATCCAGGAGCTCCCAGCTGGCCAAGGAGAATGTTAAGATGGAGAAGATATTCACTGCGCGCAACCTTTGCCGCATCGCAGGGCTGGATATCGTTTGGACCGATAACTTGGTAGATCATCTCCGACTGACAGATGACGATTGCCGTGTGCACGTCTTCCATCATGCTTCGTTCCTCCATGTCCAACAACAAAGGTTTACAATTCTTCAAGACCACTTAACGTGTGAGTCCACTGACTTATCATGGCAGTGCCGACTCCCTGCTGCCCAAAGGTCTCGCAGATGAGACATTGCAGACATTAGCACTCCTCTTCCCATCCTCAGACGTAGAAACAAGGAAGTGGTTCTCCAAGTTAGACGCCGACATTGACAGACGAGCCATCCAGTGTGGACAACTAAAGACGGACCATCGGCAAACTGAAAAGTTTAGATTCTGGAATGATCGTCTTGTCGTGCTGAAGCAGGTCTTTGACGAAGCACAGCCGAAGTCGTTATCCCAATGGTGGCATGATAGGCGGAACGGCGTCCAATGGTACCGCTCTTCGATAGCAGATCTTCCAAACGCACATTGTCATCCGCTAATACCGGTCTTATCAACAGGTACACATTCTGGGTAGCCGTCCTCGTTCTTGTGTTGACGATATTCTTTGGCTTGGTGCAGAGTATTGAAGGTGCTTTACAAGTGTATGCCTCCTTCAAAGGTCTCGATGGGTCAACATGAATCTCAGGTAGGTATAGATCCTATTGTCCACGAGCCACGAGCCACAAGCTCCGAGGGGATGTATGTGTGAGAACAATGAAAAGGCGCAGGCATATTGAATCACTTGTCAATGTTGTTCGGTACAGATTTATATAACCCATTATGACTAAGTGAATCGAGAACAGAGTTAGAGGATCTTTATGTAACTTGAGTTGGGCACATAAGTTTAGGGTCATAAAAGTCAGGGTATAAATGTATCATTCTTGATATTCTATCTATCGGAACCCGACAATAACCCAACCATAAACGCACCGTTACACAAGGATATCAGAAGTCCCTTCCCAACGCCGCGCATCATCTAATCCATCTCTTCTAGTAATAAAGTCTTAGTTTCCCATTCGCATAGCGTTCACAAGTCTATGCCTCGCGCCCTCTCGGCGACCATCGCCTCGTCCGGGACTCTCAGTGTAGGAGTCTTGGCGACGCGCATTGTCATAGTAAGACTCTGTCTCTCCAAGGCCTACCTTTGAGGGACGAGGAGGTGGCGGTGGGGGTGCATGGCCTGGTGCAGATGCCTGTTGCTGGGGGTGGTAGACTGGCTCCCAGTCACGGTTGGCCTGGTAAGGGCCATTCTGGTAGGAGTCCTGAGTCGGGATGGGAGGTCGGCTTGCTCGTTGCTCCTCACGTTCAGTACGCTCGTCCCGACTATCGCGGTTTCGTCGCGTGGAGTCGTTACGGCTTGATTGAGGGGCCGGTTGTGTCTGGAGAAGACCACCTTGAGGTGCACCGTTCTGGGGTGCTCCATTCTGAGGCGCTCCAACCTGACGACGGCTTACCTCTCGGGGCGTCTGCTCTTCGTCATCCGTTTCTGCATCGTCGTCATCATCCTCGTAGGCTCGTAATTCGCTTCGCATAGCAAGGCTGGCGCAGATGTTTCTAGCTTCCTCAATAGCCTTCTTCTGCAGTTGGAGAGCCTTGCGGCGCTCACGGGTCTCCTTGTTCTCGGCAGCGATAGCCTCGATGGTGGTATCTTGCATGCGAAGAATCTCAATAGGATTAAACAGTCGCAGCATGCCCAGCAGTAGGTGCCGTTCGACGACCTGAGTAATGACATTACGTGTAAATATGCGTGCAGTAAGGTCGTAGTAAATAAGCATCTTCTCCAAGACCTCTTCGGCCTCTGTGTAGGTTCCGCCGTTCTCAGTAGCTTCAGCACGCCACTTTCGAAGACGCTCCTCGTACTCGGGGTCAAAAGGCTGGATCTCGAGTTCCATATCGTCGGTGAGGCGCCCAAGCTCAGAGTCGGCGCTTTCGACAAGATCCTTCATTCTGAGCTCGAGGAAGTGCATGCGAAGAGGGTCGCGCATACGCATGGGCCAGACGTGATCAATGACATCCGCAAGGAACTCATTGCAGATGACACCGACGTTGTCCTTGTATTCTTGTGCAAGGACAGGCCAGTTTCTGGAGTAGTCCTGAAAGAGGATATAAGGGGCTCGAGGGTTGGAGTCGAGGGGAAGTTCATTACCCCGGATCTGTCGGAGAAGAGGCTCGACTTCAAACTCGGCAAAGTCCTTCTTTGAGCGATCTCCAACGGTGCCTGGAGTGGGAAGGCCATTGCCTTCGGCAGCACCATTCGTACCGTTGACACCATTTGTGGCAGGAGGCTGGCTCTTCTGGAACGTGACCTTACGACCGTGCTGTCGGAACCTTCGAGCGAAACGCTCACTCTCGTCACGAATGCGAGCTCGGAGCTTCTGTGATGGGGTACCCTTGGGGCTTGACTGTCTGGCAAAGAATCTCTCACCAAAAGGGTTCTTGTAGTTACCGTTGACCGCAGGAGTGACGAGGTTGTTGGATGCTGTGAAGAGCTCGCCCATCTGGAAACGCATCTCCTCTGGAGTATCTTTGCCGACACCCATGGCCTTGAGCTGGCTCTCGCAGCCTTCCAAAGCTTGCTGGATCTGGCGGCGAAGAGTCTTGACATGCTTGCCGATGTGGCGTTGGAGCTGTGTACTCAGCTTGGCACGGAGAGCACCAATACCCCACATCTCTGGTGGGAGAGTTGCCCATTTTCCACGAGAGAAGAACTCGGCTTCCCGGTTGGCACGGTCCTCGGGGGTTTGCCATTGCTCGCCTGGTCCAGGGTTGAGCAGGACATACCAGCCGAGCTTGAAGTTGTTCTCTTGGTCCTTGTTGGTAACAAGCTCGATGAACTTTTCCTCAAGGCCAATACGTTCGGTCATATCGGGCTTGGTGAGGACACCGATCGTGCGTGATCCCTTGGGATCAAAGTAGCGGGCCTTCTTGAGGATGGGAGCCTGAACATAATCGTTGTTTCCGCCGATAACAGCAAGGATAATAGTTCGAGAACTCTTCATGTATCGATCGGAGAGGGCTTCGATGGTTTGGATGTCAGACTCGGATTGATCGCGGTTGGCGACACGGACAAGACCGGGGAGATCGACCAGAGTCAAGAGTGGCATGTCGGGGCCCTCCTTCTCGACGACGAGGATATCGCGAGCGGCAAAGCGACCAGGAATGCTCTTGGGAGCGATCAACTCTGTAGCATCACGCATCATGGCATCAAAGGGTGTGTCACCGGTGACATCACCGCCCCATTGCAGCAGGCGAGCTTGATCATTGTAAGGTCGTGTCTTGTCGGGAATGATGGAAACCTTTAGTTTTGTCTCCTTCGCTCGTCGCAAGCGAATCTCTGTCGCAAAGCGTGTACAGGCGCCGGCATCGCGAGGGAATGGTGTGCCGGTGAGAGCCTCGAGAACCGAGCTCTTACCAGCAGATTGATCGCCGACGACGACGATTTGGGGTAGTTTGACATCATCGAGCTGTGCGAATTGGAGCTTGTCGATAAGGTCTAGCAGGCTTCGTTGCTCAGTAGCAAGGCCCTGATCGCCCAGCGACGATTCGAGCGAAGGGCGCATCTTTTATTATTTTTGTATAACAGAAGCAGAATAAGAGGGGGTTGAAAAGGGAAGATTTCGAGCCAAAGGTTTCGTCATTTATAAGTTATGGCGCTCGGGCTCTAGTTCGCTCTTTCTTGGCTGCCTCTGTGACAGGATTGTTAAGGTTGCGCGGCTGCCAAGCGTCCTTCAGGCCTGGAGGCGACCAAATGATGCCCAGCGTGCACTAGCGTCATACCTACTGCGCCACCCTCAACAGAGACATCCCTACAAGTCTAAGTGACAAAATAACTTTAGATTATTTAGAGTAGATCTTAATGGGCTTAGTGACCCGATTATTCTCTTCCTGATATTTACCAAGCCTTATGTCGTATTGTATAGAGAAGCTTCTAACATTGAGGCAGCTTGCTGGAAAAGCTTACTTCAAGGCCCTCGAACCATTAATCATTCTAGATAAAACATACATTAATTTTGCCAACGGCTTTTATTGCTTAGAATCCAACAGATGTCTTGAGTTTTATTGGCCCCCGAGAATTGACTGATGTGTGGCGTGTGGCGTACTCGACTGTGGCTGTGCATGTGAAAGTCTTGGCATATACAGAGTACGACGCCTCGATTACGCCGCATATGAAAAGTGTTGGTGTTTTCCCCTCTCCATTTGTTAGCAGACGTGCTGAGATAAATTCGTTTGCTATTACTCTATGTTTTTATCCTGCTGCCTAGATCTGGCGTCGGTTCTGTTTGACCTTGGATCAGACTGGCAGTCATACTCATGATGGGTGACGTAGCCAACCGCGTGTCTCACACATCTACTCACCCTAGACTCATATTGGCTAGAAACGTAAAACGTCAAAACTCGAGACAATAGTTAGGCATTGCTGTATAAATTTGTTTATAGAAAGATCGCCTAATACCTGTAACTCTGTAAAAGCCTTTCTCTTTGTAGTTCAAGATAATTTGAAAAAGGTATACAAGAAACAATGAAAATGGATCTATTGCATTTACAACCTAGGTCCATGGCTGGTTTGACCACACCTCAAAATCCACCAGCTTCGGAAGATGATAAAAAAGGTCATTGTTGCGATACATCAGATCGTCTTCCTTACAATAAAGACGCAGTGACTTACATGCGCTCCGCTGCGGAATCTCACTGCCAAGTCTATCACTCGCGATAAAAGCGTGTAGATTCCGGCCATAGGGTGTTGACTTAGCCTTATCCCCAGATTCATCGTACCAATCATCCCAAAAGTCCAGCGGTTCATGACCATATGCAAACTCTCCGTTGTGCTTGAAGCGCCAAGTCGCGGTTGCGTGACCAGCTGTGCCACTTACTTCCCAGTACCAAACCTGGCCGTTTGCGTCTCGTCCCCAATCCCACCGCGGAGAGTTTTCGATTCTGAGGAGATATTCGTCTTCTTCTCTGTCGTAGAAAGGCTGCATATTGATGTGGAAATCAGAGTCTTAGTCATCGGCGGGGACTTGTGGTCTTTCTGGAAGTTCCCTTTCAGCAGCGAACTTCTTCAGTTTTCCTTGTCCATCTCTCCAGAGACCCATTTCTGAATCCCACGTATGTTGTCCTTGGACAGTCCAGGAGTCGTCTTTGGGCTTTTCTCGCTTTCCAAAAGGTTCATCAACCTCTTCATCAGTGACGGGGTCGTAGAAAACTTCGTCCGAGTCAACCCATAAACCCGCCTCGATATGGTAGATCCTTCGGGGCCCAAGACTATGGGCTATCCCATGTTCGTCCCTTCGTTCAAAGGTAGCAGAATCCAAAGCTCCGATATCCTTCAAATCATATCCCCTCTTTTGCCAGAGGCTGTCTCGCGTAGCATGGAAGGCTTAAAGCTGGCAGGTAGTTGTGTCGAAGACTAGGGAGTGTGTAGATATCTGCGTCTTTTGACCTATATAAGATGGCAGTGGAATTTTCTGATCGGGGTCCTCCGCTCGGTTGACGTAAGCAAGAACTATCTGTTCATTCATACGCTCATGCCTTTTCACACCGGACAACACGGAGTCGCTGTCGCTGTAGTAGTCATCGTCGCAGTCCTCGCCATAGTCATCGCCGTCGTTGTCGGTGTCGTCTCCTGACGAGATAACGAACGTATCCAAGTGCAACGAATTCAAGCGTGAGAGATCGGTAAGAAATGAACGAACGACTGTCGCGGAGGTGAAATACAGCCTTTTCAGTGTCTTCGCGTGGCGCCGAATGAAAGCGACAGTTTGGGAGATCCAGGCACCCTTGGGGTTTCCAATACTTTTCACTTCCACGAACTCCACACTAACAAGTTTGGGCAGCGTGGGAATGACTCCAGATGTGGACATGAAGGGATCTTTCTCCATGCATATTTTCAAGCTCCTCAAGCTTCTGGCATTCGCAAGGCAAACTGTAAACCCTTTGAAAGCTTGACTGTCGCCATCTTCACTGCAGAGACAGAGATCCAAGTGAACAAGATTCTCGAGAATATTGCACTCCAAAGAAGCCTCCATTCGGAAGAAAGCTGAATAGGCATCAAGGCCCTCAGCTGAGTAGAACAGATGGGTAATCTTGTTGGTTGGCGCTTCAGCATTGGCCGCCTGACTTGCCAAAGATTCGAGTAGCGGAATGAAGTAATCCGTAAAGCCAATGTTGTCTCTTAGATCTGCCGTACGTCTCTGCACAAGATTCCTGAGGTTGCTGACGGTTATGGAGAGACCCAAGGAGGGGTGCCCAAGGCACCGCCGGCCATCCATGGGCCTTGAGACCAGGGTATGTAGATAGGCATGTTGTTGCGGACAGCAGATACAAATTCATCCGGAGAGTTTAATTTTGGAATTAGCTGTCGCTTATCATATACCATATTCGTAGTTAAAGGGTCCGACTGACGTGGAAAACCCGAGTTATACTGGGAGCCACCCAAAAGTTGCGCGAGCCTGCCAAGCTGTCTGAAGAAATGTTTGTTCTCATCACTGTCATTCGTTTTTTCTATCTCATCTCTATAAAGCACCGAGGGCCTCCAAAAAGGATATTCGAAGTGCGTAGTGTCAAACGCAAGCTCTTCCCAGACGAGAACTCGAACTAGGGAGGCAAGAGGTGACATTGAAAAGTCAAAGAAGTGCTGAAAATCTTGAAGAAGAGGAGAAATCCGAACTTGATAGAAAAGGATGCGCGAGGGTTCGGTACTTAGATGGCGGCAGGTCAGTCTAAGTGACTTGAGATCTCGCCTTGCCAAGCCAGAATCAAGCGAGACGACTTCGGCGAGAAGCTCGCGGGGCAGGGTATCAAGACTCATGATGGCCAGTAGATCGGTGATGCCGCGAGAATCTATCTGGGGTAGACAAGGAAACTTACAAGTTCTCCTGAGGGACGAACACAGTGAGGTGAGTCTAGTAATTTTTCAGATTGACGAGAAGAATGAAGAGTTTTTGAACTTTGAAGGCTATTAGGTATTGCAGGACCAAGTGGGAGTGTAAAGACGCTTGCCATGCCCTGATTTGACAAAACTTACACAATCCTTTAAATGGAAAAATTTATGATTCTGATAGCAATATGGTTACTTCTTACTAAACCTAGTGGGATTTTTAAGTTAGTCACTGAGTATCATATGGGATAGATGGGTGAGTGACTTACAAAGAACCTATGTTTCAACACGGATGATCAATTGCTCAAAAGTGCTGCAGAGTCACGTATAATAGACGTCATGTAGACTTGGACAAATGAATCCCCTCGAACCCATAGCAGAAGGCCTCAGGCTCATTAAAGATACGCCGCCCAAAGTTGCCGCTGCCTCGTTTCCAAGTCACTCCCCGTTACAGCTTCGCTTCAAAAAGCTATGATTGACATGGGAGACTGGATAGAGGTGGCATCGGCTGTGTATGGAATATTGTAGTTGACGGATGCCGAAGATGAGTCTGTCTCGAGCCCGGCCCAGGACCTCTCCAAGTCCTCTCGAAAGCGCTTGACTATCCAGAAGCCTGTGAGCTCCCGTCGACGTTGCATGTCGCGCCGCACAATGTCTCTATCCTTACCGTCAGATAGCAAGAACCCGAGAGCGTATACAGGCCAGGTCCCGATGAAACACTCGGACCAGCGATGATCACCAGCACGTCTGGACAGGATTTGAAGTGCTGCACAAGCTTGCCAACTATCTGTGGGAGACACCCTGGGAAGTCCTGTGTTTGGGCCATAAGCCATGAGGTGCTGCATGAGAATGAAAGCGACCAGGACGTATAAGCAGTGTGCATCTCGGTTCAGTGTGTTGGAAGCATCGATTTGTTTCGCAGCCTGTCGGGCAAAATCTTCCCAGGCTGTGACCTCGGCCTGAAGCTTCAACAGATCTTCCATGGATGCGGATTCTCTTCCAAGACAAAGGTGGCCGAGAAAGGTGGCGAGTCGCATCACGGCCAAGGGCATACCGAGGACGGGACTATTGAAGGTCAAAAGGTCAAAGTCCATATTGTCAGGATGCTCTAGGAGCTTCTCAGAGCGGGCCCAAAACCCCGAGTTTGACGGTTGGAGGGACACGTAGCTAGTCGCGCTAGACCAAAGACCGTTGTTTAATAGGAAGACCTGGTACAGGACACTCTCGAGTGACAGACGGAGAAAGGCCGACAAGCCAGCGTTTCGTACGTTGAGTACCCGTGAGAGGATAATCTTGAAGGCAGCACTGACGTGTTGAGGTTGATCGTCCCATGAGGAAGAGCCAGATATGAAGTTGAAAGCGTACAAAAGCACAATGGTGATAAGTATATCGTCATCATTCTCTGGTGAACTTTGACAGAGCAAGCCTGCGAGCCTGGACAATGAGTCGGTATAGTATTGATGAGAGACCTGATACATGCCCGGAGGCCCTCCTCTGACCGAAACGAAGGACGTAGCGCACGCCATGAGAGCAGGCGACAGACTCTTGCGCGACACCATGATAGCGCGTATAGCTGCATGCCAGGTCTTGTAGAAGACGGAGCTGCAATGCGGTAGTAAAAGAAGTGGTGTTCCCCCACGGCGAAACTCGCGGAAGAGTGTCCATTCGATGTCACACTGTTCCCGCTTACGAGCCACGACACAGTCGGCCAGCAGAAGCTGCGATGCCACTGCTGACGGCGAGAGCACCGGTTGATGATGACGAGCCTTCACAGCCTCGCGAAGCTTGCATGATCGGAAGCGGCGGTCGACAAGGTCTTTGTCCACAGGCCATTGACAATGCCGCGGGACTCGTGAGGAATGACAGGCTCGGCAGACGGGAGTTTGCTCGTCGCACTTGATGCGGTGTCGTCGGCATGGGAGACAGCCCGTCTTGGCACGCAGCTTGGGCTTTTGAAGACTTGTGACCATGATGGATTATGAGCCTGGGCCAATTGGCTGAAGTGAGGCGTTTTACGACGCTGTGGTGGATTGTCGTGAGATATATGCCAGGGATGTATGAATTCGTGTGTGTGATTGTAAGAGAGAGACAGTCAATGGTTTGTCCTTCCTGCAGACGATGGAATTGGTTATCTCTATCACTTAATCACCCATTCAAAGGTTCGACAAGGTCCAGGCCCAAGGGCCAAGTGCCCCAGCTCAAGATAAGCTATCATGGTGCATACCGTTCCCCAAGCAAGTTTGCGGGGAAGTACACTAGTGAAGCATGAAGCTTAGAATGATACGCTTCATTCGCTCACGCTAGTTTAGTTCGTGCATTTATCGCAAAAGCATATGATTGGTTCAGTAGGTCGATGTCTAGACCCCCTTGGAGATAGTGGTTACGTCTATGTTGAGGGTTGCAAGCCTCGGTAATGATTCACTCCCCAATCGTTACCTGCACATCACCAAGAGGTCGTAAATATGTTTGATTGGGTTATTCACTCCCTGCCTATCAATTATCCAATCATCGGTATTTCCTGATGGTTGATAGACAGTCTCAGAGGGCACGATGTCTTCGGTTCAACTTGTGGAGAGCCCTCCTGGGTTCCGGCTAGGATCGCACACGACTATAAAGAGGGACTTATTACTCGCTTTTTCTCTATCTATGTTCCACCCATCATTAAAATATTCCTCCAAAGCTCCAATTATTAACCTGATCAATGGCCATGCAAGTCAACAACCCTGTGCCCGTCCCCAAAGGCACCCCAGAGCATGAGGCCAAGCGTGCATCTGTTCTCAAAGCACTCTCCGATAAAGTACCCGCAGACTTCTGTCTGGGTCCCGAATTCTTCAAAGACACTCCTCTCGATGTCACCAAGGTCCCTTCTACCTGTGGTCTACTCACGGACGAGGAAGTATCCATTACCGAAGACTATGATGCAACTGGCCTTGCTGAGGTTATCGCCAGACGCAAGTATACTTCTGTGGTTGTTGCGAGAGCCTTTTGCAAGCGTGCTATTATCGCCCACCAGCTTACCTGCTGTCTTACCCAGTGGTTTTATGATGAGGCTATCCAGCAGGCTACAAAGCTGGATGAGTATCTAGCAGAGCATGGCACCACCATAGGCCCGCTCCACGGTGTGCCTGTCAGTATCAAGGACCATATTCCCTTGGCTGGAACGTTCGCTTCGTTGGGTATTCTGGCTACGGCTGAATACGATCAGCGCGACTCTCCCCTTCCGGCGGTTCTTCGCCAGGCCGGCGCCGTCTTCTACTGTAAGACAAACCAACCTCAGGCCCTCATGCACGGCGAAAGTGACTCCCCTTGGGGACGAGCTTTGAACCCATACAACACCACCTTGACATCTGGAGGTTCCAGCGGTGGTGAAGGCGCCTTGATTGCTATAAAGGGCTCGGTCCTCGGTATTGGAACCGACATTGGCGGCAGTATAAGAATCCCTTCTGCGTTCAATGGTATCTATGGATACAAGCCAACGAGTGGCATCTTGTCAACAAGGGACTTGGTACACGGGCCTATGGTAGCTGAGCTCACTGTCTTGGCCAACGCCGGTCCCATGTGTCGATCTGCACGGGATATGGACCTTTTCATGCGTATTCAGCTTGCTACCAAGCCGCATATCAGAGATCTGACTTTGGTTCCCACGACTTGGACTGGCTTGTCAACCCAGCTAGGCTTGACCCTTGGCCGCCCGCTCAAAGTTGGCATCATGAGACACGATGGCTTCATTCAGCCCCAACCACCACTCAAGCGTGCCCTATCATGGGCCGGTACCGTTCTATCAGACTCTCGACTATCAGGGCTTATCGAAGTCAAGCCATTCCTGCCTTATGGCGTGAAGCAAGCGTGGGACGAAATCAGGCAAGCATACTCTCCTGACGGCGGCATTCCAAGTCATAATGCTATTCTCGCAACAGGCGAGCCGATCTATCCTCTGACCGAATGGATCTGGAAGACCGCCGCTCCCAAGGGCATGCTGACTGCCGCTGAAATGGCTTACGTACGCAAGGCATGCCTCGACTTCCGACATTCCTTTGCAGAGGACTGGGAGCGTCAGGATGTGGACGTTATTCTTTGTCCCACTGGTGTCGGGCCTGCTACGACTCATGACACAAACTTCTATCTTATGTATACAGCTCTGTGGAACTATCTCGACTGCCCTGGCCTGGTGTTCCCTACGGGGCTCAAGGTCGAGGAGGGTGAGGAATACGATGCGGATTATAAGCCGTTAGGTCCTGAGTGCGCTCACGTGAAGGATCTATGGGAGAGTGGAAACTTCAAAGGGGCACCTATTAGCCTTCAGCTTGTGGGGAGGAGGTATCATGTAATCAGCTATTCGGAGCGTTGAAGCTTCTCCAAGAAGCTCTGGGACTTCAATGAGTCTTACAAAGAGTAAACGGAACAGGAGTTTTATCTTTCTAGTTGCTTATAGCTGAAAGAATCTGCTCAAGGTTCCAGAGGAAGACCTTAGCCACAACGGAATAAACTAGTATCAAGACTTTCACTCCGTTTAGAATATAATCATCTGTTATCACTGGTAAAGACACTTAAGACCCACCCTTGTTCGATAATCTGTGCTGGAGCTCAAGTTGTTCTGACGTTTTATACCCCAACTCACTCAGCTATCGCATTGATTTTAGGAGTGAACTTTTTGACGGATTTAATCGCTGTTGCTGACCAAAACATGGAGTCGCAATTTAGTGTGAAATTCATGAACGATAGTCCTGATAACGCTAACAAGTATCGAGACCAAAGCCGTCTCTTCCTTTCAATACAGTAACCATTTAGACAACCTCGCGGGTTTGCACTTGAGTCTGCTGTTCGTCTGCCTTTGAGTCTCCAAAGTGGATCTGCTTCTCGACAGCAGCCACGGTTCTCTCCTTGAGTTCCTCGTCCTCGAAAACTATGATCTGTTAGAATTTCGCAACTAGAGCCATGGGAGGGAGACAACATACGGAATGCAAGTTCCTCGAGGGTTCGGCCACTGGTCTCGGGATAGAGAAGGTAGATGATGCAGAACTCGAAGAAAATCCAACCACAGTAAATAGCCAGGTATCGCCACTTGATGGCATCGAGAGCAATGGAGTTGACGTTGGTGGAGAAGAAACCGGCGAGCTTTCCGAAGATCTGCTGAACACCGATACCACGGCTTCGCATCGCGTAGGGCCAAAGTTCAACCAGGTAGGCTGCAAATTGTTAGATTGGACTTTGAAATGGTGGCTGAGGACTTACTGTATGTGAGAGCGTTATTTCCAATGGCGTAGGTCGGCGAGTAAGCGAAGTACCAAAACAGAGCGGCAACACCAGCAGCATTATTTTTCTGGCCCTCAGGAACAGCCTGAATTCTCTCAAGAGATACGGTGATGCCGATGAAAGCACACAACATGAGAGTAGCGGAAAGCATGTACATGTGTCGACGCTTGAAGCGAGTGACGATCAAAGCAATGATGGTAGCATTGAGAAAACTCCAGCAAGCATAGGCGAGGTTGATTCGAGTCTTTGTGTAGTCGTCGGTGAAACCCATCATGCCGAAAAGAACACCGGAATAGTAGCTGAGAAGAGTGTTTCCGGAAAGCTGGGTGAAGAGACCGATAAAGATGGTGACAACGAATCGACGACGCATACCGGCAGTGCGTATAACCTCGAGCCAGGACTGCTTGGAGGCTTCCATCTCAGCCTTGATGGTCTCTCGGATCTGAACAATTTCAGCCTGAACGAGTTGGGAGCTAGCATCGCCTTCGGCGTGGTACTTGATGAGGATCTGGGCGGCTTCCTCTTCGCGGTCTCTGGAGACGAGGAAACGAGGAGACTCGGGGAGGAGAAAGACGGTGGAGATCTGGATCAGCGAGGGGACGATCTGCAGCAGAGAGGGGAGACGCCATGACCAGTTGGTCGTGATGGGAGTAGTGCCCAGAGCGATAGCAGAGGCGAGAATCTGACCGATGTAGTAGGATGAGTTGAACAGAGATGTGAGGGTAGCGCGCTCCTTGGGATATCCCAGCTCACCAATGAGGGCAGCCCCAGAGATAATACAGAAGAGAATTCCAGCTCCGAGAATCATACGGGCAACGATGTACATGCCAACTAAGAACTCGTCAGTGAATCGAATATTGGATGGAACAAAGTTTCATACCGTGCTGGGCGAATCCCTGGATGATAGCACCGCCAACCATGATGAGAGAACCAAGCATAATCGACCATCTTCGACCGAATCGCTGAGCAAACCAAGGCGCAAATGGGACCGCAAAGATAGAGCCGAGCTGGTAGGAAGAGTTGACAAAGCCGAGCAGACCGGGCTCGATGGCCCACTTGCCTTCTGCATTCTTTCGTCCGTCACCGAGATCTATAAAAACCCGTCAGCTCTGAACTAATTCTCCCTAGATTTTTGTAGGTGATTCGTACAGTGGTGGAAGTTCTGAGAGTATTGGAGCGTGTTGATGAGTTGCGAATCGAAACCAGAAGTCATCTCAACACCCATACAACAGAAGAACAACCAGACGTACATGATACGCAGATTGGGCTTCTTGTACCATGGCGTCTTATCCTCCTCGACGAGGCGAGTGACGATGGGGTCCGCGGCGCTACCAACGTTGACCATGTTGGCGAATTGGCTCTTCTAAGCTTGTCGAGCGGTTTTGTGCAAGGGGCCCGTCTCCAGAGTAGTAGAGGAAACCAAGCTTGAGAGATGGGAAACGAAAAAGAGAATTTCAATGGGGCATTGCAGATCATATTATACATGAGCTTCTCCCCCGCGTGTGCGCGTAGATAAGATAGAGGGACAGAGCAGCTATGAACCTAGCGGTAGCTTAACCGAATTCTCCGTATATAGGCTAATTATGGAGTTTGTCTGGGGAAACGTGGAGTCTCCGCAAAATACTTGGTTCGACCGCTGTCCATGTTGCATCACGACGTGACATTCCCGTCAGCGGCCGACCACACAGGGACCGACGATTCGCTCGCATGCAGCCAAACCCCGGCCTAGCTCAGGTTGACAGTCCCCCCAGAATTATGTCTCCTCTCTATTGTGTCCAAACGGATTCTCGAGCCGAGGTGCTGCTCTCGGTCCAACTTTGCGGTTAAACGGACCGGCTGATGGTGGGCTAGCTTATGCTTAAAGCGCTGATCATTTTCTATCTTTGTATTAGACATATGCCAGATCTAAAACACCACATGACTGCCTACCGCAAATTTTGCGGGGTCAAGCATACGAGCTTGAACGAGCTGCCTAGCATTTTTGGGGTAGACCATGGGGTTTGGGTGGGGGGCGGTTCTGCAATTTCCCGTCCATTTGAGTGAAGAGATGCTGAGTTATGGAGACAAGGGTGTAGGCCGACTGGCTGAGACTCGAATCATGTCTTTCATGACTAAGTTTAATACTGGGCTGATATAAACACGGTAAACGGCCACGGCAAGTGAATATAGCCAGCCATTCAGCGTCGTCTATATGTCAGCTCCGTTTCACCTCATCTCACCCACAATCCTCTTCCCCAGACCTCATGGAATAATTCTCGAAGACAAGAACAAGCATAAGCGTCAAGCAAGAGATGTTAGTTTCATTTCCCATCTAACATTTTGGAGAAGAGGGTTGCACCGGGATTGTCAATGGCCTCTCCCCCCTGTCTTTCAGCTCATCAACCGTTCACCTGGAACCGGCTTTTCAGGCTAAACACCCGGAGGATGGAGGAACCATTAGGTATTTAAAGCTTGGCAGCCGCTGCAAAACCAAGAAGCATAACCCCTGGGAGGGTTGACAGTGAGCCCTCCCAAATGCGTGGGGGAACCTCGTGTGCGCACGCGGGTATACAGTACTGTCGCTCTTCCATTTCCGGATGAATCCTTCCAAGCAGTCTTTGATTTGAATATGCTTACTTTTAGTACCTTTGAGGTTGATTGACAAAGATTCCAATGGCAGCGGGCCGAAAGGGTGATGGTGAACCGCCGGATGAGTCGTCCGAACCAATGGGTGATGAGATAATGTAATACGGCTGTCATTGCGAGGTCATCACTGGGCTTGCAAAAAATCCCTTCTTCCGTGTGTGATGCATTGATAATGGCAAAAGGAGACAAATTCCATGCCAGTTGGGGATAAAGTTGTCGGGTGATGAGCTTGGCAAATGTCGATGAGACAATTAGGAAGAGGCCGAGACTGGGGAACAAGTGATTGACTGGGTAATAAAGGGATCTGCAATTGTTTGAGAATTCGTTGGCTTGTAGGGTAACATTGGAAGATCATGTTCTGGAGTGTATGATCAAAGTTGCTGAGCAAGGACTGGAATGCAAAGTATATCAATGCTAAAAGTTTGTCTGCAAGTATACTTAGGGCGTGTGGTCTAGGGGTATGATGTTCGCTTCGCATCTTCGTGCATTTGCGAAAGGTCGAGGGTTCAATTCCCTCCTCGTCCAATCTTTTGCTTTGTGCTTATTCCAGTTTACATGTCTATCTTTTTATATGCAGTCAATGCTTTTGCTAACATTAACTATACTGTCCTTTTCCTTACGTATAGGCTATGTATAAGTATAAGCTAGAATATACATAGGTTTACAAGTGGGTGGCCGGCTGTTTCTTGATTGCAAAGAAGTGAAGAGATCCTTTGACGATTGGTTCATCAAGTCGTCCATGCTGCCTCCCTCAGCCCAGGGGTACAAAAGCATAAACTGATCTTTTCCCGATATCTCGAAAGCAAAGACGAGTTCCACTAGATTTGGTCTGGGACAGACCTTGCGAAAAGCGACCAACTCCTGCTGGAAAATATCTCGAGTTTTTTCCTTTGCTGGCAGTATAGTCTTTAATGCAAAACTTTTGTGTCCCGTCTCCTGGATGTCAGTTTGTTGCGTACATTCGGTCGGTAATCAACTTACGAAAGAATGGTGGTCTTTGTGAATCTTGACCTTCTGAACAAACCCATAGCCCTCCAGTCACGATGTTTTGCCCAGCAAATTCCCACGGCATAATTGTATCCAAATCAAACACCAGATCCCCATATATATGATCAACGCCCGTCTCAAAAAAAGGGGATATTCACGCACCACTGTTTGAGGTTGAAGTCGCGTATCGCCTTGATGTCTCGGAGGCTTCTGGTAAGCAGGACGGTCCGCTGATCTTCTGGTCAGCGAGATCGTAATTCCGACTCTTCAATTTTCTTTGTGAGTGGCAAGTCTTCGTCAATAAACGTCGCATTTTGGAAGGTTTCGATTAACTCAATGCGGTTTATGAGTGCTAAAATAGCAAATATCTTCTTGGCTGCATAACAAAACACCAAAGCCTCATGGTTCTTCCATCACATCTATGTTGACCTGATTAACCTGCTTAATTTGTAAGAAAGAGAAAAGTGCATTATCTTCGTGACGACCACCAGTCGTGTCGTCCAAGAATTAATCACCTACATGCCCAGCACTTGGTATTTCCTACTCTAGCCAACGTATACAGAGAGAAGGCATCCGTCAGTACGCATTTACATAATTTTATGAGAGTATTCAGAGCGCAAAGTAGCGTTGAAACACTATTCACAGAAGACACTGGGAGAGCGTTCACAGAGGTGTTTGACAAGTATTCACAGGGAGTTGACATATGTTGAGTGGGAATTGAGAAGCATTCACATAGGGAATATACAGGTGTTCACAAGGAATTGGCATTGATTCAGAGGGAATTAATATGGATTCAAGATGAATTGAAAAGTATTCAGAGCGCGAAGTAGTGTTCAGACAACATTCACAGAGAGTATTCACGAGCATTCACGATCGTTCAAAGAGCATAAAAGCTTCCACGCGAGTAACAATTAACTCGGAGCACCAAGCCAGCAATCTCTCACTACAATACCACAGTCCACAAGAAATCGAGAGTTTCATCGCTGCACTCCTTGTTAAACAAACACCAAGTCTTTTCAAATCACCACCCAGTACCCACTACGATATCATTGTGCAAAACGAAGCTTCTTTCCAGTATGATCCAGCAATTTCTGGCTCTCGAGTACGGAAACAAGAAGAGGCTCAAGCAAAAGCTTGACGACTACTTTGGGAATGGCTGCTATGAGATAGTAGAGGTTTGAAATTAAATCCTTAGCCTACCTGAAAATACTGACCACTACTAGCGGTCTGGCAGCCAATGGCAGGTGATGGTTCCGAGAAAACTGGAGAAGGTTGGTAGTTTCTATGAATGTCTTGGTTTAATACTAATCACGTCTCTCAGGATGAAGTCGAAGAAATCCAGGAACACATGAAACAACACTACAAGTCTACGAACTGACGCTGACCTGAAAAGGGAACGAACGGACAAGGCAGTGATTCGCTATCGGAAGTCATGGATTTCAGCGCACACAGGTCAACTCATCCCAGGACAGCCATGAGGAACTGCTCTAAATCAATGTCAAGTAGTCCTCATTCAGAGCATAAACTAGCTTTTAGATAGCATAAAAGTTCTACACAATACACAAAGAAACAGAGTCCAAACATTCAAGAATTCCAGCCGCAATTTATGACCTAATAATGGATGAAGACTTGGAAGCCACTGGGCTTGAAAGCGATAGGCTGGTGGACAAACTCGAATATGCATTGCTTCCAAATGGAATCAATCAACATGAGCGGTTTCTTCAAATCGGCTCCGTTCACTCCATTTGCACCCAAACAACCACCCGCCTATTCCAACAAGGTCAACCAGACCCAGACACCAAGGCTGAGGCCCAGTGTATCGCATGTATTTGAATCATGCGTTATTAAACTTAATTTGTGTCTCATCTAACTGACTCAAGTAGGTTACAAAACTTGGCCACGAAATATGTCGCAGGAACGGACCAGCCTTCCTTATAGGTCTTCTAGAATTCATCAGAGATGAGATGCTAAACCCAGAAAGGGGGAATAGAGCTAATTGTGAGAGGATCCTGGACTATTTTGATAAGTTTTTGGATAAAAAGGTATCTAGAAATTGGGCAATTGACTCATAAAATGAATTATTTTATCACAAGTATTAAAATATCTTTAACTTGAAGTCCACCAGTGATAATACTAGTAATAGAATTATGAGTGTTAGAGGTAAAAGGATATAAATGGACTTTATTAATATAGAGAAATCACCTATAATCAGCCATAATATCACAGATCTAAGCATCATCGATCCCATTATTTCCTTCCACATAAATCTGTCGGTAAGACGCTCGACCTTTCATCCGGTTCCACCAAGCAAGTAGATTTGTATGAGCCTCCAGAAGGTCAGGCCAAACTCCATCCTGCAGGTAGTGCATATACGGGACATAAAAAAGGTCGACCAGTGTTACAGTCTATATATGTCAGCTGCCCTGCTACAAGAGTCAAATTGCAAACAAACTAACTTCGCCAGCCATGAAAGGCTGTGTGCTGAGCTTTTGATCAAGAAGTCTCAGAACTCTTTCGAGCTTCACTTTAAGATCCTTGACGACCTGTTCCTTGGGCTCTTCATTCATGAATTGCCTGTCGGGAGCTGTTAGCTTCTGATCGTCGCCTTGGCAGGACTACTCACGATTTAAAGTAGGCTTCGAAGGCCAATGGATTAGCAACAGCATCGAAAGAGGTCAATTCGATGGATGCGGCTTCTTCAAACTTGGCCTTTGCAACTTCGCCATCGGGTATGAGTTTGTTGTCCGGTCCGCCATATCGATCCGCGAGATATCGAGCAATAGCGCGTGACTCAGTCAGAACAAGAACTGGATCATGCGAGTGGTCCTGGAGGCACGGGACAGCTCCGAAGGGGTTGATTTCGAGGAATTCTTGCCTCTAACAAAGTGGCACAAACTATTAGCTCGCCGCCTGTTTTTTAGAGACAGTATCAGAATTACGTACCTGCTGCTCACGTTTGATAATGTCCACCTCATGAATATTGGTGATATTGAGACCCAACTCAAGAATTACCAATTGCAGTCTCTGAGGACAAGGGAACCGGCTGTCGGTATAAAGTGTTAATTGAGACATTTTCGTAGCAATGATCACAAGGTAGTAATGATGAGATGGAATCAATGAGGTTTTGGTTAGGATAAGTACCTAGAGATTGGTGGCCTGTTGCATCCTTAAGTAGATGGTTTCAGAAGAAATCCACTTCAACATAACGCAGTCTGAAAATGGGTATGTTAAAGGCATCATCGACGCGTAGACTCGTACTCCTCATAGTTGAGGGGTTCTGCCCGCAATTTCAGGCGCCATATACACGTACGCAACCAAAAATCCGCAAAAGTACCGCACTAAGTGTCTCGAACACACGTAAACCAATAAAAGCCTGGAGTAATTACGACTTCAATTATTGGACATTGCATACAAGACCTTAGTCGACCTCGGCTATTATCATCGGAAAGCAACACGATACCGGCGAATGACTCAATTTCCCGTGTATAGACAGTGGGGTACACGACAGGCTCAATGAACTAGCCGAAACGGGTGGCTTTAATGAAATGGTTTGAGGTATGGGAAAGTTCCAGCTGGTGTTTCACATCGAAAGTACGACTGCGACTGCATGGCGATGTTAAAGAGTTCTCAACCATTGGTGACTTTGGTTGGAGCACCATCGTTCTTGCACTACACTTTAGTGTCTAGGAATTGCTTCTCTAGACCTTAAAAAACGGTGAAATTAGTATACAGAAAGTGGTTCAGGACAAGCTGGCGCGTTATAGGCATCTGGCTGTAAAAGATTAAGCTATTACTAAAGCTATAAAGCTTTATTATTATTATTATTATTTTAAGTTTATATATTAGCCTTAAAGGGTATTTAAATATATAGGCGGATGGTTATTTGGGTGCAAATGGAGTGACTCTTATTTTGTAATTCTCTAACTCTAAATTGGTAACATAAGCGTAAGATAAAGCAGGTTGAGGAATGCGGGTATGTGGACATCGAAAGATAGAGGAAGGGGCTGCAATATGCTAAGAATGGGAACAGAAGTATGAGCAATTTAAGTGAGTTCTCTCTGTTGATTTAAGCTCTCAGACACAATTCTCGACTGCAAATAACACATCGGATGCATTACAACAGTTAAAGGAGTAATCCCAAGTAGCTACCACTGAGTTTAGTATAATACTTTTGAAACTCGTTTTCTTGATTAACTTCTCTAAAGTGAATAGCATGAATGCAAGTCAAGTAAATTTTGTTATTCACTGTCCATAGATTCAAGTTGTCACTGCTGAGACGTTGGCGCATCACCTCCATTCGAGGTCCGACCTTCAGTTTAATCACTGAACATACAGGCATGGTCTACCTCACCTTGAATCATCGACTGTCCTTTTGCAGTGAACAAACTTTGAAACTCCTACATAATCAAGCCAGTGGCCAAGAAAGAACCGAGGAGAGTGCTTGTTGAGAGAGCATCAACAGCATTCTCCTACAGCTTCAACTCCCTGCAAACTTGAAAAATGAGCGAACAGTCCAGCAATCCTCTGAAGAGCTTCCC